TATCCGTAGACCCAGGTTTGCTTTAATTTATTTTTCTTTGTAGTGTTGTTTTATTGTTGTGTCCTTTGCGACACAAGTTGAGTTCGGTTTTGTTACAGCAGCAAAAATAACCAAAACGTCGCAATGGCTTAAAAAGCTCCGGAGTCTTCAGTTTCTTCGGTTAGTGCTGATCGGGGTCGTACGGTCAGCATGGGCCCGACGCTTCTTGCGCAATTCCGCCCCATCGGTCCACTGCCGAGCTTAATACCTGGCAATCCCAGACTATGCCGATCTACACTTTACCGGCCCATACGGTTCTGGTGATCCACAGTACAATTCCTAACTACACTACATGAATCCACATTCCGTCTGGCGGTTGTGCACGCTTAATCCACGAGTCATTCTCGAAGGGCGATCGCGGGGGCGACTACATCGTTCTTTGCTCTCAACAGTTGTCTCTTTCCCTTTACTGCTGTCTCTAATTCTTACCTCAAGTTCCTGGCTTACATCGTGGTTCTCATCCTTTACACTGTTTCCAGATTCCGCCTGCAAAGCAATATCTAAACTCCTCTCCACCATCACCATAAGAGTACTGTGCAAGCAAGCAGTGTTTAAGCCCTTTCTCTATCCACTATTCGCGCAAAAATCAAGAACACACTTCATCATCCTTCTCACCCGACACCTCTTTCCTTTCCCCTCCCCTCCAAATGTGCGTGAGCTAGCCAACCGGTAAAGGACCAAGGCCATGTAACCATTAAATCCATTTATCCCAACCTCGCTCCCTTGCCTCGAACAAAACTTGCAGTACATCACTTTCCTCACTCCCCTTCCTCGCCTTGCCCACCTGCCACATTGAAACTCCCGCCGTTCGCCGTAGGATAGCGTTACAGCTACGGCCAAAAAAAAAATTTTCGGAAAACGCTATAATGCCAACCTAGCCAAGCCGAGTTTTAACAATTGTCATTACTGTAAACCACAGAAGCGAATGCGGCTAGGTGTGCGACGATCCGATGCATGTGCGAGCGGCATGTTAATGTGGGATCATCAGACAGCCCTGGACAAAATACAGCAAATACAGCATTTATCAATATATGATTGCGTATTACTCAAGAGTAATTTGGCCATATTAATTTTATATGTAAAATACATAATGGATTGCAAACTACCTTTCGTCTACGCGAACCGTAAACCACAGGTTGCGAGCAACATAGGAATGGATCTCAGTTAAAAGTGAGAAATATGCGTATTTTCAATTTTGTGACTAAAGAAAATAGGAGGCTAATATTTCGCAAGAGTGCTTTTGATGTATAATGGCTCTACAAACAAAATTATTCCTCAATTGTACCGATATTTCACGTACTGGCATTAGAAGAACAAAGCTGATAAAGCATTCGCGCCAAATGAGCTCGGAATACTGACATGACGGGAGGATTAAAATTTCACAAGAATGATTTGTGCTCAGATGCTGCGCAAAAATCATAAATTTTGATGTGTTTAAGTCTAGAGCTCGTATGCTAAAAAGTAAAACTTTTTATCAAATAAGAACTAAAAGGACGCCAGCTAGTCCTGTTGTTCTGCTAATTTTACAGTCTCAATAAGGACAAATATGACCCAGGTTTTTATGCGTTTTTGCATATATACAAATTACAAAAACGCATATTGGCAAGAGGCTGTGTAGTTGTGTGTGTCTATATGTTCACGCTTTTTGTCACCTACTTTCATTTCGACAGCCAGAAAGGCTAAAAGACTGAAACTTTGGGAGTATGTGCCCACACTATGCGCGACACCCCGTTTTAATAACATCGCCAGCCAACGCCTACGTGCCAAATATGGATGTTTTAAAAAAAATAGGCAAATTTTTTGGCGGAAAGCGATCTCGGGAACCAGACAAGGTAAGGGGCTAAAACATTGCAGGGACATTTCCTGTGCATATATGAGCTAAAAATTTCAAATTCAGCCGTGCGGTACGCGTGATATTTGCGTAGGGGCGTGTGAAAGTTTTGGCGGAAAAATTACCAACTTAGGAGCCAGAAAAGCTAAGAAGTTAAAATTTTAGGGGAATGTTCCCTGTCCAAATACAATTAAATATTTCAAATTCAGTCTTCAGGTGCGCGTAATTCTCATGTATGAGCACTTAAAAGTTTTGGTGCGAGAATGCTTACTGAACAGCTAGGCTACTTTCAAAGAACCGTTATTAAATGGAAATTGTTCTTTAATTTATGCAAAATTCATGATGATTTACGCTAGTGAGCGCAAAAAGTAGGTGCAAAGCAACAACCATTCTGTAGTTAATGACTTGAATACTCCAAGTCTGGTGCAAAAACAAATGGTCGCACTGGCAAGCCTGATGCCTTCCAATCTGGATTTAAATTCATTCACAAAAAGCGCTAGCTTGGTTGGAATGAGATTATTTAGCCCAATTTTGAGTTTTTCTATTACAGGCCGG